GAATGGAGGAGAAGGGATTGCGGTGTGGCCATCCCCCCGGGGGGTGATTTCTCGCTTTCTGTCTCTCTGTCTCTCTCTGTCTGGCGAGCACACGTGCCCTACAGCAAAAACCTCTCCAAAAAAAAAAAGTTAATACAAATCTCATTTGGTCCGCTGGAGACTTGATGAGATTAAGTAATGCTATTCCTATTTTCTTTGTTTGTTTGTTTTGCTATTAGGGGTGTGTGCTCGACAGAGACAGGGTTGGGGAGAGAGGGGAAGAAGGTGAAAAATCACCTCTCCTGGGAAGAGATGGCCATGCTGCAACTTCTTCTCCAATGGAAGTGGGGTGACAGTGGATGTGGTAACGCTTGGGATATTCTAGGACCAACCCAGAATGGGGAGTGTCTTTCATGATCTATGAGGCTGGTCCCTGCTGCTGGGAAGGTTGGGGAATGCTTCTCTTAAGAACTGTGGTTTGTTCTCTGGTCTGTGATAAAGGACTGAATATTAGAAATAAATACTGAAGAATATATGGGCAGTAAAGCTGTCAGTTTAGAAACTTTGTTTATTAATTCCATGAATAAGAGAGACAGAATAAGAAAAGCTCATGGACGGGGTCTTGCATGGGGATCCACCCCCAGTCTCTGCCAGCCTAGATCATGGCCACAATGTATGTCTAGTGTACTCAGAGGTCTCTGGACATGAACTGGCAACCTTCCTATGTGGTCTGCCTTGCAGAGCATTTTGGCACTACACCACTAGCTGGCCCCTGTTCAATTTGTTTAGTTTTTTTTTTTTTTTTTTAAGTTTTTTTTTTTTTTATTTTATTTTTTTATTCCTGTTTTTGTATTTTTATTTGAACAGATACATACACACACACACACACATACAGAGAGAGAGAGAGAAAGAGAGAGAGAGAGAGAGTGAGAGAAAGTGAGAAAGCAAGTCACTAGGTCCAGGAGTCAAACTGAGTCAAACTGTGGTCGGCCATGTGAGAGTGTCCAGCACCTTAACTGCCATGCCATCTACTTGTTTAGTTTTTGCTATAGGGTGTATGTGAAAGACAGAGAAAGAGAGAAATCACTACCCAAGGGAGATGGCCATGCAGCAATCCCTTCTCTTCCATCCTTCTCTTGAGATTTTGAGCACGTATATACTCTGGCCCAATGTGTTCTCAAGCCACTGAGTCCAGAATTTGAACTGCATATTCAGCCATATGGGATTCAGAGCCTTAAACTACATGCCACCTGCTGCCTCTTCCCCTCATTTTAATTTTTAAACCTCCTCTCAGATCAAAATGAGTATCATTCCCTAACTTTTCAGTATCTGACTTCACAGTATTAAGTAAGTTTATTTTTGGATACCTGAAACAGTAATAAATCAGGTCTTTGGTACCTGATTATCTTCCCCAATTTATCCTTGCTCGAAAGAAATTCTTCAATAACCTAGCAAAAAAGTAAAAGGAAAGGGAGAGGGCATGATAAGAACTGGGTCTTCAAAACTTCTAAAATATTTCTAGAATAAATGCACAGTTGATTATTGGCTATTACCTCATGGAATGGGAATCCTTCACAACTGCAAGCTTTTCTGAAAATAAATTTAGGGAGATGGCCATGCAGCAATCCCTTCTCTTCCATCCTTCTCTTGAGATTTTGAGCACGTATATACTCTGGCCCAATGTGTTCTCAAGCCACTGAGTCCAGAATTTGAACTGCATATTCAGCCATATGGGATTCAGAGCCTTAAACTACATGCCACCTGCTGCCTCTTCCCCTCATTTTAATTTTTAAACCTCCTCTCAGATCAAAATGAGTATCATTCCCTAACTTTTCAGTATCTGACTTCACAGTATTAAGTAAGTTTATTTTTGGATACCTGAAACAGTAATAAATCAGGTCTTTGGTACCTGATTATCTTCCCCAATTTATCCTTGCTCGAAAGAAATTCTTCAATAACCTAGCAAAAAAGTAAAAGGAAAGGGAGAGGGCATGATAAGAACTGGGTCTTCAAAACTTCTAAAATATTTCTAGAATAAATGCACAGTTGATTATTGGCTATTACCTCATGGAATGGGAATCCTTCACAACTGCAAGCTTTTCTGAAAATAAATTTCACACATGTCATTACTATGATTGTGCAATTTAGACAGACTCTGAAATCATCTCCTCTAATCTCCTCCACTTTAATGAAAAATGTCCACGAATAGTATATCAGCCTCCAAGCCTCTTTCTGAATAACTGTGAAATTACTATCTTCTGAGATAGCCCAATTTTTGAAGAGAATTAAGAAAACAATTTTGTGAAATATGTGACTAATCAAGACATATGGGTGAATATTATGTAGAGATAACTCAAGGACAGGTATGTGTCTATATATAGGTCACACCAGAAGAAAATGAGTCATAACAAAAACTTACTTCTTAATGCTGTTCTCTAAGCCATTCAGTTGCCTATCATGTTCTGTGCGGTGCCACTCACAAGGACAGTGGTATTCATAATCATGTGGCTCACAATACCTATCACTTTTACACAATTTACAGCCATTTTGTTCATGATCCTTAGGTGAACCTTTATGGAGACACAAAGAAATAAGTTTTTCACTGCTTTTTACAATTATCTATATATATATTTTTGTCCTTACCCAATTTTTCCAAAAAATTAGTAACACCTAAAAAGGTACAAAAAACCCTTAGGTTAAACAGACTAATAGATATCATAGTAATTTTTATAATAAAGTATATCTTTAGTTATACTAGCACATAATACTTTTTTCTTTTTAATAAAACTATTATCTGGAGGAATTCATTTATAACTTGAAATTCTGTATTTACAATTATCAATGGATAACTTTCGAGTTCATTCATATGGTAGTTACATGCAAGAAAAGATATAATTAACAGCAAAAATGATTTACTTGATAGAAAATTCATAAAATGGTTTATTTAATAAGTATACTAAAATAATATAACAAAAAAATTAAGAAGAACTAGAAAAAAAATTTGGGAAGGAATATATCACCTTTCAAATGAGCTTGTACAAAAAACAAGATAGGTTCTTTTGAACTATTCATCTGGTCTGGCTTTAAGTTAATATACATTTAGAATGTAGTTTAATCCACAGGTAAGCAAAAGGAATGACTTCACTGATTCTGAGACTAAGCTACTAGACTGTTCAATTATCTGCTATGGTTTGAATGTACCCATCCAAACTCAGCTGTTGAACCTTAACTGACATTGGAATAGCATTAAAAAAAATTTATTTTAGGTTTTTGCAATAGGGCACATGCACTCTCTGAGGACAGACAGAGAGAAAGTAAAAAATCATCCCCACCAAGGGAGGGATGGCCTCGCCGAAATCTCTTCTTTTTGGATTGTGGGCATGCATACACACATGCCCAGTGTGATTTTCAAGACGCCAGATCCAGGACTCAGAGTGTAGTCAGCCATGTGGGAATCTAGGGCCTTGACTACCATGCCACCTGCTTGCCCCATTATAACTATGTGTGCATATATTAATTTATATTAATTTGACCAGAGAGAGACAAAGAGATAGAGAAAGAGAAAATGAGAAAGTAAGCTGCCAGGTCTGGGACTCAAACTGTGCTCAGTCATGTGGGAGTCTAGAACCTTAACCACCATGCCACTGCCAGCCTCCCATTGTAACAATATTAATAAGCAGAACTAAGGAAGAGAAAGAAAGAAAGAAAAAGAGGAAAGGAGAGAAAAGAAGGAAGGAAGGAAGGAAAGAAGTAGAACAAAAATTAATGGTATACATCATAATGTGGTAGTATTTGTTGAAGATGATGAAAATGGTATCAACCTTTGATTATCATGCACTGCATGCATGCCTTGAAAATCCATATTACACCCCACAAAGATGTACAACAATGTAAATAAAAAATTACCAAATTAAAAAAAAAAAAGAGAATTGCTTTGGTTGTCATTTTGCCTTAGTTATATGTACTTGTTATTTTTTTAAAACAATTATTTTATTTATTTTTATTTATTTTTACTTGACCAGAGAGGGACAGAGTGAGAGAGAGAGGGAAAACGAGAAAGCAAGCTGCCAGGTCTGGAACTGGAACAACACTTAGCTATGTGGGCGTCCAGGGACCTTAACCACCACGCCACCTGCTGGCCCCTGTATTGTTATTTTTAAACCATGCTTGGAACACAAACAAATTAACACTGCAGACCTGAGTGTGAGGCTTTAGTTCTCCCTAAAAGAAAAGTGTGATTACTTTTGATACATTAATTTTCGGGGTTGGTAGGTGGCTTGGCAGTTAAGGTTCTGGACTTCCACGTGGCTGACAGAGGTTTGAGTTCTGGACCTAGAGGCTTGCTTTCTGACTCTCCCTTTCTTTCTCTTTCTGTCTCTGCCAAAGTAAAAAATAATTATTAAAAATAAAAATTAACTCTCTTCCATGACTTCATTTACAATTTAACATTAATGAAAGCATATTAAGACAAGTAAAGAAAATTTCTTTTAAAAGACAAGCTAACATAGGGCCAGCCAGTGGTATGGTGGTTAAGGTGGCTAGAACACACATGGCTCACTGCACGGTTTGAATCCTAGACCTGACGGCTTTAGAAACACACTGGGTGGGGAACCAGCAGTTAGCGTAATGGCTCTGTCGCTGGACTCCCACTTAGTCGACCGCAGTTCGTGTCCTGGACCTGGAGGCTTAAAACTCACACCGGGCGCATGTGCGTGCGTGCCCAAGATCCCGAGAGGAGAATGGAGGAGAAGGGATTGTGCCTTGACCATCCTCTGGAGGGTGATTTCTCGCTTTCTGTCTCTCCCTTTCTGTCTGGCGAGCACGCATCCCCTATAGCAAAAACCTCTCCAAAAAAAAAAAAAAACAAAAAACCAAAAAAACAAAAAACACTGGGTGCATGTGTGTGCATGCCCAAATAGCAAGAGGAAAATAAAGAAGGGATTGAGATATGCCATCTTTCCAGTGGATGATTTCTCTTTCTTTATCCCTCCCTGTCTGTTTCTGGTGAGCACATTTACCCTATGGCAAAACCAAAAAAAGATGAGCAAATATTATCTCCTGATTACTTCTGGGAGAAAGAAACCAAAAAATCATCCCCCATGGAGAATGGCCATGTCTTAATTTCTCCTCCATTTCTCCCACCTTTCAGGATTTAGGGCATGTACAAACACTTGGTATGTTTTTCAAACCACTAGGTCCTGAACTGAATCACAAAGTTAGCCATGTGGAATCCAGCTACCTTAATCTATATGCTGTGGGCTGGCCCAAAGTTATTTTCAATAATAATGAAAAGGTATTAGAAATTAGCTTTGGGACCAGCAGGTGCGTAATGGTTACACTGCTGGACTTTCACATAGTCGACAGTGGTTTGAGTCAAGACCTGGAGGCTTAAACTCACACTGGGCGCATGTGCATGTGTGCCCAAAATCCCAAGAGAATGGAGGAGGGGGGATTGTGGCATGGCCATCACAACTGGGGATTTGATTTCTATGTCTCTCTCTCTCTGTCTTTCCTAAGAGTGAATGCACCATATAGCAAAACGTTTTTCTTAAAAAAACAAAACAAAACAAAATTAGCTTTAAGTCTTATATCCACACACACTAAAAAACACATTATAAGGCAATGAAAAATCATTTAAGTATATAAATATAAATCAACAATCTAAAAGCAAATGATTGAGGCCAGTGGCATAGTGGTTAAGGTGCTAGATTCTTACATGGCTGACCAGAGTTTAAGTCCCAGACCTAGTGGCCTGAAAGTTACTCTGGGCATGTGTGCATGAGTGCCCTAAATCCTAAGAGGAGAATGGAGGAGAAGGGTTTGCGGAGTAGTTGTCTCTCTGGGTGTGTATGTGCATGTGTGTGTGATCTCTCATTTTTTCTATAGGGCCAGCACATGTGCTTTATGGCAAAAACCTAAAAAAAAAAAAAGAAAAAAAAAAAAGAAAAAAAGGCTATGTCGCTCAGTTCCATTTTCCCCTAAGATATATCAGCATAGTATATTTTCCTTAAAATGGGTTTCTACTGGGACCAGCAGTTAGCGTAATGGCTATGTCGCTGGGCTCCCACATAGTCGACCGCGGTTCGAGTCCTGGACCCGGAGGCTTAAAACTCACGCCGGGCGCGTGTGCATGCGTGCCCAAGATCCCGAGAGGAGAATGGAGGAGAAGGGATTGTGGTGTGGCCATCCCCCCGGGACGTGATTTTCTATCTCATTGTCTCTCTCTGTCTGGCGAGCGCACGTGCCCTATAGCAAAAACCTCTCAAAAAAAGAAAAAAAAAGGGTTTCTACATTGGAAATATAATTTTGAGATGTGATTTGGTATAGTTTGAAACTGTACTTTCCTATATTTATCACTTATATCATACTGTTTTATTCAATAAACATTTAGAGT